TAAGGTGGCAGAGCCCATGCGACGTAGGGTGAGAAGGTATATATATGACCTCGGCCGACGCCGCGAGCTATTCCAGAGTCACCATCTCAGCCAATCCAGCACCACTTGATTTAGAGGTTTTGGAATCTCAAGATAAACCGGGACAGTTACAAACCCTCAGTGCTGGAGTGAGTCTAATGGCTTGTGGCGTCCGTATGATACATATCGGCTATTTAGTGGGCCATTTATTATGTGTTTGGTGAAGACATGGAGTTTTGCATCTCTCGGCAACTGTGCATGCCCTTGCCATGACATATACCTTCCGTTTTAGAGAGCAGCTCTTAGGCGGCCTTTTCCGGCTTGAGCGGCGTCGCCGTCGCCGTCGCCGTCGCCGTCCGCATAACCGCGCGTTGCATTCTGGGACATTTCTCATAATGACGTCACACGTGATATCACGCGTAGCGTACATCCTTGTACGCTACGCGGCGACGCCATAATTTCGTGTTACCGTGCTGAGGTGAACCAAGAGGTTGCTTCGGATTTGCTTTTCTTTTTAGAGCGGCTTTTGATTTTGCGGGCGAATGGTTTACACTCCTCCGTGATGTGCGGTTGACCCAACGGTTGAGGAAGGAATTGTGGCTTGAGGAATAACAAAGGTAAGACATAAAGTGCGCGAAATGGGTGCCGGTTGTCTCCGTTGAACATCGCAGTGCTGGCGATGAGAAGACTGAGTGACTGCATGCTTTCGAAACGTAAGTTTCCTTACCTGCAGGGGGAAGCCGGCTTCGGCAATAAATACAGTTCGCGGAAAGCTCGTGTTACGTTTTTATTTGCTGCTCCTCTCGTTCCGTGCAATAGACTTAGCGTTCTCGTTAAGCCTTATCGAGCACGATTTGCTCGATTCGTTTCCGCCATAATGAGATGCAGTCGACGGAGGAACTTTCGCACCCCTGCTTAAGGGAGGAAAGTTTCCTCCTTTCTGAAGGAACATAGGTATCAAGAGCGTTCCTCCCTTTAGGGAGGACTATACTGTCCCTTTTTTCTAAGAGTGCACTATTTCAGCATAGGTGCAAGCGAAGCCTAATGCACGAGCGCAGTGGTTCAATGGCCTCCACCGACGTCACATCACATGCCATTCTGGTGGCCTTGCTGCTGAGTATGGATCTCTTGCTGCGTAAACTGTGCACTCTGGGTGTTTCTTTTTTGTGCAGGTAGTAGAATGCATACAGGCATGGGTACAAGGACGTTTAGGCAAGCCATATATAGCGTCAACTCTGTCGAACTTACGTCTTTTTTACTTTTGAGCTTCGCAACGCCGTAGAATCAAGGAGCTGAGTTGGATGACCACATTCACGCTTTTCACGAGATCATCATCAACGCCCGCCTTCGTTGAGGCGCGTACCGAATATATATATAAAAAAAAAACATGACATGTTTTCCCAGATAACTGATTAAATATAATATGGCCTGAGCACTCACGTTGAGATATGCCACAGCGCAATTTTTTTTTCGCAGACATAAGAGGGGCAAAAACATGAACGATATGCGAAGCGGCCTAAAGTAGCTAGGGAAGCAAAATCAGCGCTGTGAGCTAGCCGCTCAATAAAATTTACGCTTGGCGTTTCTTAGAAGCACCGACAACCATTTTGTGCGAACGCGAGAAACATTACGAGACCACGGCCGAGAGCCGCACTGCAGATTCCTTTCAGGGCCAATCCATAGGCGCTTATTTTAGTGTTGCACTGCCATTTGTTTTCAGTTGCCGCACGACGCACGGGCTCGTAGACTGGCATATTGGATGTTTTCGCGGTGCTTCCAAGACGAGGAAACACATCAAGGGGCTTTATTGAGGGCGTGTGGCTCTTCGGTGTCGTCAAGAGACTCGTCAAGCTTGAGGTTGTGTTACGTGTTTACCGCCAGATTGACTGCATAGGTCGTGCATCGGCCGCGGTTACTATGAAATGGAGGGTAAAAGCTCGTCGCGCGGCAGCGAGACACAGCCGGTTGCCATGGCATGACTACGTCTTACATGCGTCGCCTCTCATTGGTCCTAGTTTTCGTGTGCTGCAGCAAACAAAATTCTCACACAGAACATCCCCTTCAAAACGGCAAAACCGATTCCGGCGATATAAAACAAAGGACTTCTGCCGCGAGTCGCCGTCCGTGAAAGCTTGTGAAAACAGCAACAACCAGAAATGGTCCGGCTTGGGGCATTTGGTGCTGGCGTCGCCATCTCGAGGAACCGATTGGGAACAAATCTGGCGAAAACTATCCTGTCAAGTTTATTTGCTCAAATACCAACATACCAAGACATTTAGACTTCTCTGAAGGATATTAAAAGTAAGATATGAGACATCTGTAGTACTACCATTTGTTCTGGCACGTTCATAATTTAAGTACTTTTAGTTTTAAAATTGCCCCAAGTGAACATAAAACAGTGAAAATGGTCATAAATCTGGATTTTAATCAAAATCTCCAGACCTATCAGGGGACAATCCTTGGGTGAAACGACATTAATTACGTATTTATAATAAACCACAAATATTTTCAATACTCTGGCGCACTGTAACAGGCTGGAGCTGAGCTAGTTGGCTCATACTTCAGGTAACGCTAGCTGAACTAGAAAAGAGACCACACATAAAGAAAAAACGTTACTGAAGCAAGAACCAACTGGCTCAGCTCAAGCCTTTTACAGAGTATCTTTCTAGTTCTCTGAGAACTTCTTACAAGCGGTGTCTATGGCGCTTTCTTTAGGCCTATGCTTTTTTTTTTCCGGTGAATTCCTAACACAAAGGTTTGCGTAGCGAAATTTTCTTATTGAATGACGAGCGGCCGAATCCCCTTAAGGCATGGATGGCAAACAATTAAAATTTGAGGAATGTTTACAGGCGCCGCACTATGTTGAATCTTTTCAGCCAAAACACGGCGCCGCTGTATTCTGGTTCTAGACCAAAAAAACAGCCTGCGGTGTGTCTTTTTTTTTGTCCGAAGAGACAAATGTGTTTTGAGCGGCCACAATAACATGGATGTCTGGTGGTGATGATAAGAAGCCACTGTCGTTGACAGCGATATACGGCCAGGGGGACATCATGTGGGTGGACATCATGCCCGAGGCCCGATGAACGGGAATCGTGGCTTGTGTCAGCTGGGCCTCGCTTACACGCTCTACGCGGCACTATGTCATCGGTCGCGTGCACTGTGAGGTCAAACAGCTGCGTTTTTTTGCTCACGCTCTCCTATGGGCTTGTTACGGTGCGAACCACAACCGGTGCGAAACACGGTGTAAGATATACTGGGTGTTTTTAATATTGTCTACAGATTTGTTTAAAAAAAAATCATGAACACCACACTGACACGGTTTGTGCGAGTGGGTTATACGGCCGGGGGGCATCATGTGGGTGGCTAATCTTTGCGATAAGTGGGCTAATTAATTAAAATTCGTTAATTAACTTTTTAATTAGTGGAAATAGACGAATGGTTCCAACTTGAAACTTACTAAACTTTATTCTAAACCACTAAATAAACGCGGTTTAGAACGACTTGAAGCTCGTGGGAAACTCGTGGCGCGCCATATTTATCGATCGAGCAAAGCTGGAAATGTCGGAACGTGATGATAATCTCATCTTCCGCGTTTCTGCCACTGCTAGCTTTGCGCCTGCTGCACGAGTGGTAACTTTGGTGCGCCCCTGAGTTTCCCACGAGCTTCAAGTCAGTCTGAAATAAGTTGATTTAGTGGTTCACGATGACGGCTTTGCAAGTTTTGTAATTTAAACCATGTCTTTTTTCACTAAATTAAAAGAAAGGTAATTAACAAATTTTAATTAATTAGCCGACTTATCGCAAAGATTAGCCACCCAGATGATGTTCCCGTGGCCGTATAACCCTCTTGCACAAACCGCATAAATGTAGCTTTCGTGGCTTTTTTCAAACAAATCTGTACAAAATAAAAAAGTACCATCCTTTAGATAGATGATGGATAGACAGCACGGTGATTCCTGCGACCCGATCGACAAGATATAGCCGTGTTGGCGCGAACCCGAGTAGTTTTAGCTGACAGCGTCTCGGTCGTCCAGACCACGCAGCTAAGAAAAAATAAACAAACTACTAAAAAAAATAGTGCGTCACTCCCCGGCGCACGTTCTCTCCACTCGGAGCGCCTGTTCTGACATTGACGGACGCCGGATCAAACCTTCATGAACACCGGGACAGAGGCCTATCCCCTTCAAGGAGTGTCACCTCGATAGAGGCGCGAAGCTAGGGCCAATGACGAAGAAGTCTCTAAGCAACACGCGTAGCTCAATTACTAAGTTTTACATGTCGTGGCAGCCCCCCCCCCCTCCCCCCCCCCCCCCCCCCAAGAAACAACTTTAAATTTGGCTTGTCGCATGTCGCAGAAGGCTCCTTTGCATGTTGCGAAAGGGGTGTGAATACCCCTTTCGCAACACGACGTTTTCGTCGTGGGATGCGCGTGCCTCCCGGCACGCGCATCCCACGACGAAAACGTCAGGCTTTGCGATGTGCAAAAGCCTCGTGTTTTCACCTCGTGATGTGCGCGTGCCGGGGAGAAATCCCCGGGATTTCTCCCTCGTGTGAATACCCCTGAAGGAGTCTTTAGAGGTGGTTCGCTCATCTTGCGGCCGCAGCCGATGCTGCGGCCAAAAAAGGTTTTTATGTCACGTGACCAGCTCCATGGAGACAAGGAAGTACCTATCGTCCCTGCCTAACGGCGGAAAAATCCGTATAGCTACAAGCGAAAAAAACCTAATTTCGCTAGCAGAAACTGACTGCAGGGACTTTCAACTAGAGTCTAATTGACCGCCCCTTTATACTATAGGAGCGGCAGGTGAAGTTACGGCCAGGGAGGGAAAATTTGATCCGAAATAAAAAAAAAAAAACCCACGTAATAAAAGCGGTGGCAGTATAGGTGACATTCACTTGACGTCACTCGCTAGGTGCGCTGGCATCGACCGCCGCTGTCGCCATCTTCGAGGTCTCTTTTCTCGTCCCTTGCAGGTCGCATTGCGTGTCGCCTCTCGTCTGAACGTTCTGACCGTTTCTTTCGAAGGGTTTTAGTCGAAACTAAGTGTTATTTCTCTACTTCGGTGCTTTTGTAACACTGTGTGCCTATTTTTTGTTCGTTGTTGTCGCTAGCTAACTTGTCTGCTGCGGCAGTCGGTTTTGCGCCGTGCCCACGGTGGTCACTCTTGCGCAAGAACTTTTTTTTTTTCTACTTTGGTTGTTTTGTAGCACGGTGCGATTCTTTTTGCTTTGTTTTTGTGGTCAGCGGACTCGATACGTTTCGGCCGCGTGATTTTGGTTGCTCCATCGGCTCCGTGTCGTGCAACGTTGGTGTCGTGCGTCGTGCCTACGGTGTTCGTCTCTTCAAAAACTTACCGTGCGGCTTCCGTGTGAGCCGTCAATGAGCAATGCGGCTCAGTGACTACGCAGAGCATCTTTCTGGACGTGAGAAAGACCGTTATGTGAGCAAAGTCAAGCGGTGCCACGGCATCGACCCCCTCGACCTACGAGACGGTGAGATGGTGCGCGACACGAGTCTCTATCCGAATGTGGAATTCACCGATATCAAAGACTACCTTGTTCATGAAACAAGCTTCGTGACAAGGGAGGAGCTGAAAGCCTACAAGTCCCTCGAGTCGCACAACTTTTTGACGAGCGGCTGGGTCCAAGAACCCCAGATCAGGGTGCTTCCTGACAACAACGTCGTGGTCGTGGGGAAGGTAAGCAAAAATCTTGGTTATCAGCAGCAAACCACTTATTTCTTACCTTGAGTTGTGTTGTTTTTCGATTGAATCTTAGGACAAATCTCTTGTTTATTGCTGCATTGCTCAAACACCACCACTCAGAGTCTGCAGCTGCCTGGCATTTGCTTGGCTAGGTTGAACCAAGTGGTGACAGATGAAGGGTGCTGCATGGGCGGTTACTTTTTGTCTCTAAACTGAAAACAACACATCTCTTTCAGGTTCGTCACTCGCAGTCGATGAGAGAGGCCTTACTGAGACCTTGGCTGCTCCTCAAGCCCGATGGCCAAGTGCAAGGAGCGCACTGTACCTGCATGGCAGGTCTGGGTGAAGCTTGCTCCCACGTAGGAGCAGTACTGTTTTACCTGGAAGCAGTGGTGAGGAGAACAAGCAGCCTGGCCTGTACAGACCAAGCAAACGCCTGGCTACCACCACGAATGCAGGTACTTGAATGCGTCCCCATTGCGAAGATTGACTTTTCGTCAGCGAAAATGAAGAAAAGAATTCTAGACGGGGAAAGACGGCCCACCGCACAGACGAGTTCCAGTGTACCCCTGGGTGCAAGAGACGAAGAGTGGGCAACATTTCTTGCGGCCTGTCACCAGAGTGGTTGTCGGCCAGCATTGCTGGCATTGGAGGAGGACTATGTCGACGAGTATATACCAGTGGCCACGAAGTTTCCCAGTGCCATACTGACAAGCCTTTGGAGGGACGACATGCCGGCTACGTGGGAGGAGGTCATAGCAGAGTGCCGGGACATGGCGGACAGCCTCACGCTTGATCCCGAGGTAAGTATTTTTTTTTATTCTGCTTGTTACTTTTAGCAAACTTAGTAAAGATGCTGCTACTGTGGCCTGCTCAAGGGGCGTGAACTAGACATCTATCCTAGGCTTTGCACCCAAACAGGCCAAAAAAAATGCGTAGTCTCGTCAGTCTCTTTGTGTTGTCACAACTTTAAAGAAATCAAGAAATTCCATAAATTCAGGTGCATGTGTGGAATTCACCCAATTACAATATCCAACTCAAATGCTGAGATTATGCAGTAGTCCTGTAAAACATTTCTTCTAGTTGTTGGGCCCAGGTCCTAGAACTGCGTCAGGAGCACTGAATGACATGATGGTACAGCTGCAACAGAAAAAGAGTAGCACAATGACCGATGACCGGAGCGGCAAAATGGCGACATGCGGCGCTATCGTTCCCTAGCGCGCCAATAGCGAGAGCGCCAGTCACGTTCAGTGTCTCAACGCGGGGGTGGCCGGCAGAAAATTCAGGAATAAGATAGCATTTGAAATGCGGGCTTTAGGATGGGCGGCTTTCTGTCGGCCACCCTTGTGTTGAGACACGGAACGTGACTGGCGCTCTTGCTATTGGCGCGCTCGGGAACCATAGCACCGCGCGTCACGATTTTGCCACTCCGGTCGTCGCTCACTTGTGCTACTCTTCTTCCGTTGCAGCTCTACGTTCAGTTATTTTCCGTACCATAATGTACTTGCAGCCACAATGTATGCAATTCGGTGCACTGTGGTAAATACTGTGCAAGAAATATTGCCAATGCCGGTTGATAATCATTTTTGGCAAGACAAAGAAACTTCGATAGTGCTTGACAGCATTCCTCATGCATAAAGGAGTAGTATGTTGTTTGATGACAACATGCACCTGGCATTAGGATGACTCGGATGGGAGAAAAAGCAGATGACGGAATGTCATTATTGCATTATGTGAAATGTTACTCATCTCTGGAGAAAAGTGGCTTGAAATGTTAAAGTGACGTTAAACAGCTAAGTTTTGCGAAGCAGGTATTGATGTAAGGTACAGATAGGTTTCAAAATCTCATTAGGAAGAAACCTCTACTTTGGTGTGGCATGGGGTTCGGTTTTCATAATGTGGCCAATGCTAGCCTGAAGTTTCACTTATGGTAGGCCTGAGAAGCAATATAAAAGAGAGCCCACAAGCTTCGTACTAGAAAACAAATTTGCTACATGAAGGTTTAAACAGCAGGAAGTTAACCCACGTTAAAATGGAGTCGCAAGCTGTGAAGGGCAGCAAAGGAAAGTTGATGCCATGCTAACTTGGATTTATGTACCGGAATGCATTTCAGGTGACCGCTGCAATCGAAGTGGAGACGAAAAAGCAGGCCTCGTCGGAGAAGTGGTTCGCATTCCGAGCAGGCCGTGTCACGGCCTCCAACGCCAAGGCGGTGTGTAGAACGCCGATCGACAACCCCTCCCAGTCTCTTGTGAGGAGGATTTGCTACCCTCTTGAGACACAGTTCTGGGCTCCTCAAGTCGCTTGGGGAAGAGAAAAGGAGGGCAAGGCCAGGGACGCCTACATTGCGGACATAGCACCAATCCACCACAACTTCAGGTGTGAAGAGTCTGGACTTCATTTGTCTACCGAGCACCCATTCTTAGGTGCAACTCCAGATGGTCTGGTGAGCTGCACGTGCTGTGGAAAAGGTGTGCTGGAAATTAAGTGCCCTTATCGTGCCAAGTATTCTTGGACTTCAGAAATCCCCAAGCTAAAAAACTCCTGCCTCACCATGGAATGTGGAAAGTTGACATTGAAAACGGACCACAGGTACTACTTTCAAGTTCAAATGCAAATGCTAGTCTGTGGGAGAACCTACTGCGACTTCGTAGTGTGGACTACAAAAGATCTGTTTAGGCAGCGAATCTATAGAGACAGAGAGTTCTGCAGCGAGATGGTTGCCAGCTGTGCGGACTTCTTTCTATGTGCACTTCTGCCAGAGATAAGCTTCAGGTACTGGAGTAAAAAAATCCAAGAAGATGACACACTCGCAGACAGCACATCAAGCTCGGACAGCGAAGAGGACGACAATGGGACTGGTCAAAGTTATTGCTTCTGCAAAGGACCAGAATCTGGCGAAATGGTCAAGTGTGACAATGGGTCATGCAAGTACCAATGGTTTCACTTTGCATGTGTGAACTTGAAAAGAGCCCCCAAGGCACGAAAGTGGTTTTGTGGCGACTGCAAAACAAAGAAGAGGTAGAAATCTGAAAAACAGGCAACAGTGAGCGCCCTAACTTTTTTTTTTTACCTAAGTATGGAATGTATTTTGAGCGATGAAGTGCGTGCGATTCGTTTTAATAAAGTTTGCACGTCTGGTAAATCTTGTGGCTTACATCTTTAGAATTAACAAAAGTCAAATGTCCTTATAAGAATTTGATTTCTGGGATTTATTTCTAAATGTGACTGTGTGAACATGTTAACAGAAAATAATTCATAGATTTTCAGGTACAATAATAATACTTTTTACCGAAGGTAAGGTACTCTGGGAGGCTCGCAAGGCAAGGCAGATAGGCTTCGGCCTATAGGCATGAGCGTCTGCCAGCCAGCCACCCAGAGCAAGTGAATGAAAATAAAAGCAAAGAATAAAACAAGAGGGAAGGGGTAACACCGCCTAAACAAAGTTCCAGTGTCCAGGTGGCAACCCCCCATCCCACTAGTTGATGTAGTTGTAAACAGCTCTGTTCCATACACTGCACAAGTCACACATAAAGTGAAAAAAAGACAACCAAGGTTGGTCATGTTATAAATTTGGTTTCATTCTTATCTTTATTTGGTAGTTGCATGAAAGCACTTATTATAACATGCTGGAAGACCTAATAGAAATGCAGTATATGCATCCACTCATAGTTTTCCTGTTTAAAAGACAGCAGAAAATGACACACATTCCAAGACGGACTATAAACAGCATAACCAACGTAGGAGAAAGCAAAAGGGAGTTATCAACCTGTTTTTTCTTATGCATACCACAAATACCAAAACAACATTGGTAAAACTTGTAGTGCTAGGACTGTATACATTAAGAAAACAAGGAAGATGAGTACATTGATCATTACATTTTGTTCTGTGGATGAGACATTTTTCCTAAACCTTTCTTCTTTACAAAACTAAAACACGGAAGGGGGTATACAAGTTATGAGAACAAAGAAATGTTACAGCTATGTGTCTAAATGTTGCCGCTGCATTTTACAACCCTATCGTGCTAAAGGCCGACGTACAGCTCATGCTCACCACTTTTTCAGAAACCCTCCTTTCCTATATCTATAGCTTGCGGCAAGTAGCACAATAAAATGGTTTGTTTCCTTCTGATGCACATGGGTACGTGAATTCTTACTGCACCAGAGGTAGACATAAGTCGAACTAAAGCTGAATACTGTAAAACCCTTTATGTCCGTGGCCCCTATTTTTCGCAAATCGGTCTCAGGGGACATAATTGCGGCCACTAAATTTCGTGAATTCCAGATGCCAGCATTGAAGCTTTTAGGAATCGAAATTTTCACGTACCCTTAAATGTCGCGAATTTTTATTTTGTGGAAAAAAAGGGCTTGCGAACAAAGGGGTTCTGACACGCCAAAAATAAAATATGAGATGACAATACTGCTAGGACCCACTGTATGTTCCTATAATCCTGCTAAATTGGTTTTAAAAATGGCGCGATAGTTTTGTGGATAAATCGATTTATATGCGGCTCCCTCGGAGGGGAGGATTTGGGCAGAGTGCAAGGCTGGTGACATAGCCAGCCTCCCGCGCGGTGTCCCCTTGCACGCACTCACAAACTTGGCTCTCTTGGCGTCTCGAACTTCAGCTTCCTCGTTTACCTTCCGCGTTTCAAGCATACGGTCCATGACGATCACGTCTATGGCACCGCTCGCCTTGTCAAAGTGTACGACATTGATCGCAGCAGCGATGAGAGTGATTGCTATCAAGAGATGTTGGAAGCTGTTCTTTTTGACTGCGACCCGCTGGCGACCAGCTCCAGCGACGGCGAGTTACGGACAAATTCGCTGTGGTCACGGTCGTCTAGGAATATTTCACAGGCGCATGCAGGGTGGAAGGTCAACAGACCGGGGGCGAGAGCAAGAATAGTGTTCGGGTTGCCAAGTTGCATGAGCAGTTTTGATCGTACCACGGCGAAGAGAGCCTGGAGGATCATGGGGGCGCCTAGAATGAGACAGCGTTCATGACAACATGGTTTATGGACACCATGGTGTGACTAACTTGGACAGTGTTGCCTGGTCGCCAGATGCAAATTATAAAATTCGTAAATTAAGTATTACAATTACCAGAGCTTTAAAAATCGCATAACTTGGTGTATATACTAAGTAGCCTATGAGCATTCCATTTCAATAATAATCTATCAGTTTAATTTTCGTGTCATAGCCCCTTTAAGGGTTTTACAGCAACTGAAAACATCTAGCCAAATGGCACAACGGAAGGGGACATGTTTGTTAATGCAGCACATACTGCCACAATCTTATCTAGACCAGTGGCATTGCCACTGCGCACAACAAGCAGTTCAACTGGTATGGTGCTTTTCAAGATCCTATACTTGCGCCGCACCAAACCAATCACGCGCTCGACATGTATACGTACATTCGCAAGGTTTCGCGTGGCCTCTATTGCACAAGGTGCCAGCTGCGCTTTGCCCCTTGTAAATGCGGGAATCTCAAGTCGTGCACAGTGCACACTCACTGCATCGGATATAGTGAATCCTCTGTCGGCCAGGACAGAATCTCCTGGCAAAAGGTTGTCAAGCACCCCACACTGCTCTGTGAGGTGCTTGTCGCTCGTCCTTCCCCCCCAACCCTTTGAAATGAAAGTAATTTTCCCTTGTGGTGCAATCCCAATGAGATACTTGACTGTGTTGTGGTGTTTATAGCTCGACCATGTGAGTGCTCTTGCATGAAGAGACGATGGGCGATGTATAAACACCTCAAAACAGTCAAGGATCACGGCCACCCGAGTCCCAAACGTTCGCCGGAACGCCATAGGCATACTCTTTCTCAGGACATCTCGCCCGGGCCACTTGACAGCCTTTGGTAGCTTGAGGTAGGCCGCATCCAACCACTTGTCTACAATCCGCGTGATTGTGGACTGTGACACTTGAAACCTGTAGATATGTATTAAAAGTGTGGTGTTAAAAGGTGTTCAGCCCTAAACAAAATGCAAAACCAACTACCAAGTTGCTTGGTAAATTATCTAAGATTGAAGATTGCAAAAAGCACTGCTGCTAATTAATACCTGTACGCTAAATCCTGCAGCGGGAGGTTCAGGCGCAGGCGAACCAAGAACACGATCATCTCTTGAAATTTGCTCAGAGAATTCCGTTCACTGTGTCGCACGCTGCCTTGCAGCAACTGGAAGAGCCCAAGCAGGAGTGCGAAGCTTGGCAGCCCAGTGTAAAATGGCACCATGCCTTTGTCCTTTTGGAAAGAAGTCTCATCCAGACGATGCACACTCAGCTGCTCCCTTGTAGCACCTAGGTCTGACATGAGGTGTCGAGACTCTGCTTCCAAGAGCTCTATGGAAGCCATGGTCAGGTCTGTAGTCTGGCCAAAATCCTGCACGTCTGAAAGTTTAGGGCATGGTTTCAGCATGAGTAAAAGATGAGAAATACAGCTTCACTTTTGTTATCAGTGAGACGAGAAATTAACACTCGTAGCCCTCCTTCTCAAGAAAGGGCTCCGAAATGTCGCATACCAGCAGCTGTGGCAGACCACTGAGAGGTCCCCTCCATGCTTCTAGCTTCCATGGGACACGCACCACTGGAAACTTGACTGTCCAAGAAACCTGTTAAGATTAGCAATTTCAAAGAATAAATATAGACAACTGTTATCTACAGCCATTCAATTTGCCACACGCTGAGTCTAGTCAATAGCCAGTGCTACAAGCACATGCTTTTAAAGCAGCTGCTGACGCAACCAGAGGTCAGTATTTTCGAAATGTCGCATACCAGTAGCCGTGGCAGAACACTGAGAGGTCCCCACCATGCTTCCAGCTTCCACGGGACACGCACCACTGGAAACTTGACTGTCCGTGAAATCTGTAAAGATTAGCAATTTCAAAGAATATAGACAACTGTTATCTACAGCCATTCAATTTGCCACACGCTGAGTCTAGTCAACAGCCAGTGCTACAAGCACATGCTTTTAAAGCAGCTGCTGACGCAACCAGAGGTCAGTATTTTCGAAATGTTGCATACCAGTAGCTGTGGCAGAACACTGAGAGGTCCCCTCTATGCTTCCAGCTTCCACGGGACACGCACCACTGGAAACTTGACTGTCCGTGAAATCTGTAAAGATTAGCAATTTCAAAGAATATAGACAACTGTTATCTACAGCCATTCAATTTGCCACACGCTGAGTCTAGTCAACAGCTGGTGCTACAAGCACATGCTTTTAAAGCAGCTGCTGACGCAACCGGAGGTCGGTATTTTAGGTTGCTCACCCTCACCCTCACCGTCACTCACACACTCATACCCTCACGCACTTGTGGCCCTCACACTCATGAGTTTTTGGGGTTCAGGAACTCTCCCTCACCTCACCTGTCAAGATGAAAGTGAGTGAGGGCCCTCATGACTGAGGCTTGCCCAGGTATGGCAGCTCCTAGCCCAACTCAGCGAAAGGTTTGCACCAATTCTGGAGGACGACATTCTCATCGCAGCCCGCATACTTGACCCGCAGCAGAAGCTGCGAGTCTTCCAGCCGACATTTGCGCAAGGCCCGTGTAAAGGCATATCCAAGCAGAATACTGCCAAAATCGTGAGGCGATGCGATATGGCTCCGCTTTCGTCCGTCTTTTTTTTGGCCAGGGCGGAAAGTTTCCTCTGTCAAAGGTTGCAAGTGCCCTTCATGGGGTGTTGAACATGCTCATCACATGAGTCCGAACAGTCGCTCACAAGCTCTGTTGGCTGTCGGTCAACCGCTCAGGCCCTCCACTGCTTTTCAGGTCCCAAAAATGGGAAAGGGAGAGGCTGTGTTCAAAATCGTACCAAAATAGATCCGAGCTACTCCAGCAGGTCGTGTCACGTGATGACACAGAGCGACGCTGCACACGGGTAGATTTTCGGACGCAAAGGTAGAAAACCCCTACCCTGGAGTAAAATTGAGTAAATTCTGGAACACAGCTAAGGATATGAGGTCCCGGCAGAACGGATGGATAGCATTGGCAGGTGGCGTATGACATTGAGTCTGATGTGCACCGAGGTCACCAAAAAGCAAAAGAAACAAGGAGGAAAATTGTGATGTTGGCTCGGTGGTGCTTAAACAGAGATTGAACTGACGCAGACGCTTCCGATTACCACGGTTTTTGACGGAGTCATGTCGCCTCACAAGACAAGAGGCTTCAAGTCGCATGATTGGTCACCTCTCGATTTGATGCACCTGGGTCACACCATGCAAACATGGCCAGATATTAGGACCTTTGGGAACAATTTCAGGGTAGCCAGGTCAACTACATACCCATGCTGCAATCCCCTCTGGTAATGTGGTCTTCATCTGGAAGTGCTGGCTTGTCCTGAGCATCTGCTTCACATCCTTCAGTTGGTGCTCTCCCATTCTTGGCTCTGGATTGCACTCTGCTGTGCCTATGACAGAGAATTCCTTCTGTAATGTATGCCTCACTTTTTTCTTTTTTTTTTTTCTTTCTTTTATGTGCTGCATGCATTACTTTTTTGGTGCCCGAGATATAAGGCATCAATTTTTGAAGTATAAATGATAAAAACAGCTATCCCAACTTAAACCTACCTAGCAGTCAGAGCTGCTTCATCAGCTGGCTTGCCGTACCCAAGTTTGAGACTCGGGGCCCAGTCGGGGTCGGTGTCACTCATGACATAAGCAGGGCGCCCTTAAAGTATGAATGAAACGGTAATTAACATGAACAAAACAAAGCTCTCTTCAGAAAACAAAAGGTATTTTACGAAAGTAGTTCTTGGTTACCTGAAATGAAGTGATCCCCGCAGACCCTGTAGTGAGTAGCAGACTCGTTGATGTCCGCTCGCCGGATTCGCCGGAACCACTCGGCCCTTCTCTTGGATGTAAAGGCTACCATCTTCTCACACTGGTTTGTCACCACTTTAGGAATTAGGAAAAAGCTCACTTTCGAACATTTTTCGTCGGCAGGCTTTTTCCGCGTGCGGTTAGAGCACCCTACCACGACACAGTTCACCATTGTTCCACCGGGTACTACGGTGCTTAGAGGTCGCAAAAAAATAAACGGGCAGCCACCAGTGCTTCTTTTTTTTCTTCTTCTCTGTCTAATGAACTGCCGTCAAAGAAATGCCTTCAACAATATGAAATTACCGCCGAGGAAAGCCAACCAAGCCGCGCGCCCAAACTACCGTACCACAGCCGCAGAAACAAAAACTCGCAAAACGCGACCTCGAAGATGGCGGCGCGACAGTGGCGCTCCCTGGCAAAATCGAATATGCACATTCAGTGAATACCACCTATATTTATCTACTCCGCCAGCGCCGGCGGCTCGCGCCTTCTGCTGTGGTCGAGAGTTAAGAGTGCCGGCACTTAACGTCGCGGCATGAAAGTCCCGGGTTCAAGTCGCGCCAGCAACATTTTTTTTTCTTGTATTTGACCGCCCCCCAACTAAGAATGCAGACAAGGCCCTATGAGCTCTACAAAATCATTGGTGGGTAGTTCTGACTCACCAGTTCGTTGTTCATGGCCTCAGAAGAGCGCATACATGTCTCCAGCTTTCTTTACCAACTTCCGCCACGCCTCCTGCATCTGCCCTGCACTCCACGGAAATTTGACGATATCTTCCCATGCCCGTCTCTTCGTTCGGCAGGTAACTGTGCTGCTGAATTTCTCTAGAATTTGTTGTTTCCGTTTTCCAACTGCTTTAAATTATTATATTTGTTGATCCAATGTCATTTGAGGTGTTTGGGTTAGAGAGATGGTTTGCGATGGTTTGCACCTGTTTCATTTATGCATTCTTATGTGATCGTCTGCTGTTCTAACTAAAATTCAACATGTAATAGTTAATATTACACAACGATTGCCACAGCAAAATGTAAAGAGTAAAAATATCCATTTCATCACATTCCATGCAAGTAAACGTATGATCTATCATCCCGAAGAATAAGCCAGTTCCAGTGCACAGAGATATTTTCCTGAATTCCCGTCCAATCGAAATTGTGGAGCACTTTAAATGTCTCGGTGTCCTGTTTTCCGCAAATATGTCCTGGGATGGTCATATAAACTATTTAGTAGGCAAAATAGATCAGATAACTGGAATAATAGGTCATGTTAGATACTTTCTTCACACAAGAATCAAGTTACTTCTGTATAGTTCACTCTTTTATTCCCATTTGAATTACTGTCAACTAGTGTGGGGGACAACCACACTTTCAAACTTACAACTCGTTTATTTGGTACAAAACAAAAATGTCTTCGACATATTTACAACGCGCCCTCCAGAGCGTCATGTGCAAACTTTTTTTATCGTTCCCACGTGATCCCATCATACAACCTAAATAAATATCGATTGAGTGTGCGGTATAAGTTGGAAACACAGAGGAATATAAATAATATACGTAATCTGGCATTACTACAAATAAGAAAATTGAACTATACTACAAGACATGGAGAGAAATGGGAAGTAGCTACATCTTGTTTAAACTACAGAAAAGAAGGCCTGTGCTATACACTTCCGTCAATATTAAACGCCTATCAGCTTGTGCATTTTAATTTATTCGCCTGAAAGTACAGTGAGCTCCGTGCCATGTCTGTAACCATGAAAGTATAATTTTTGTTTCTTATGTCTATATACCTTTGCGTTTTCGTGGTCATTATCCTTCTTATGTTCATTCTTCCCGCCGTTGTGCTGCTTAGTTGCCATTAATAGAGGGACTACGGGCTCGTCAAGCTGTTAAGCCCAGTTTTTTTTTACAGCCCATCCTCTGTATTTTTTACAGGGTGGAAAATAAACACATTTGAATGGATTTTATTTCAGTTTGCCGACTCTCACAGACGTTTGAATTGCCGCCTTGCCTGTAGGATATCGCTCAATCAATGCATCCACAGCTGGTAGTCTTTTTTTTTTCGTTTCTTTTTGCATATTTTGTGGAAGTTTTTTTTCTTGTTTTTTAGTTGTCACAACTGCTGTTTTTATTAGTACTAAATGGGTTCCTCCTGTTATTGAAAAGAGTCGTAGCAAGAGCGTTGTATATTTAAAAACGCATTACATTGTAGTTGCTGGGGAAAGGATACTTGTTTCGGTTCCGTTTGTGTGAAAGTCATACCGGTTCTTTCATCTTGATTTTCTTTTAATGAAAATTATGAAACGATTGTATTAGCGCGTTAAATTGCCTTAATTTTTCTTTTCTTCCCGGTGTTTCGATTAAACAGTTGGAACTAACAGTCAAAACCTTGTAAGGCGCAGTAGTGCACGTGGATGATTCGTAAAAGGGATCACAGTTAAAAAAGAGACACGCGCAAAATATAAAAAAAAGAAGTTCCTAGCGCGATTTGAACCCGGAACTTTCACGCCGCGACGACAAGTACTGGCGCTCTAACCTTCTCGACCACACTAGGAGGCGCGAGCCGCCGGTACTGGCGGAGGTATATACATCTACTGCTATCGCATTTATCTCGCGTGGTTTTTTTCTTTATTTTGGCTCATATTCACCCACCCTGGCCGTAACATTACCTGCCGCTCCTATAGTACAAAGGGGCGGTCAATTGGACTCCAGTTGAAAGTCCCTGCAGTCAGTTTCTGCGACCGAAATTAGGCTTTTCTGCTTGAAGCGATACAGATTTCTCCGCCATTCGGAAGGGGCGCTAGGTACATCCTTGTCCCCATGGAGCTGGTCACGTGACATAAAGATCCCTCTTGGCCGCAGCCGCTGCCGCGGCCGCAATATGAGCGACCGCCCCTGGTGTCAGGGCCGGTTTGCTCATCTTGGGGCTGCGGCCGCGGCCGCGGCCGCGGCCAAGAGGGATTTTTACGTCACGTGACCAGCTCCATGGGGACAAGGAAGTACCTAGCGTCCCTGCCTAATGGCAGAGAGATCCGCATCGCTTCAAGCAGAAAAGCGTAATGTCGCTCGCAAAAACTGATTGCAGGGACTTTCAACTGGAGTGCAACTGACCGTCCCTTTATACTGTAGGAGCGGCAGGTAAAGTTACGGCCAGGGTGGGTGAATATGAGCCAAAATAAAGAAAAAGACCACACGAGATAAAAGCGGTAACAGTATATTTATATACCTCCGCCGGCGTCGGCGGCTCGCGCCTTCTGCTACGGTCGAGAGGGTAAAGCGCCGGTACTTGTCGCCGCGGCGTGAAAGTTTCGGGTTACAATCGCGCTAGAGACGTCTTTTTTTTTTGTATTTTGCGCGTGTCTTACTTTTTAACTGTGATCCTTTTTTAGGAAATCATCCACTTGCACTACTGCGCCTTACACGGTTTTACTGTTAGTCACAGCTGTTCAATCGAAACACCGGGAAGAAAAAAAAAGATCAACGCAAGTTAACGCGCTAATAGAATCATTTCATAGTGATTAAAAGGAAACCAAGGTAACACCATCGGTATGGCTTTCACACAAACGGAGCCGAAACAAGCATGTTTTCCCCGGCAACTATAAGTTTATGCGTTTTTAAATATACAACGCTCTTGCTACGACTCCTTTCAATAACAGGAGACGCCTATTTAGTACTACTAGAAACTGCAGTTATGACAATTGAAAGAAAAAACTTCCACAAAATAAGCAAAAAGAAACGAAAAAAAAAAGACTACCAGCTGTGGATGAATCGATTGAGCGAAATCCTACAGGCAAGGCAGCAGATCAAGCGTCTGAGAAAGTAGTAATAAAAGAAATCATACTTTTACTTGCATGGAATGTGACAAAAAGTATATATTTACACTTTACACTTTGCTGTGGCAATCGTTTTGTAATATTAACGCATTATTTGTTGAAGTTTAGTTAGAATAGCAGACGATCACAACCGAATGTAAAAAATGAATCAGGCGTCGACATCGCAAACCATACCTCTAACCCAAACACCTAAAATGACTTTGGATCAACACATATCATTAATTAGAGCAGTTGGAAAACGGAAACAACAAATTCTAGAGAAATTCAGCAGCACAGTTACCTGACAATCGAAATGACGGGCATGGGAAAATATTGTCAACTTTCCGCGGAGTGTACGGCAGATGCAGTAGGCGTGGGGAAGTTTGTAAAGAAAGCCAGAGACATGTATAAGCTCTTCCGAGGTCATGAGCAACGAACTGGTGAGTCAGAACTGCCCACCCAATGATTTTATAGAGCTCATAGGCCCTTGTCTACATTCTTAGTTGGAGTGCAGTCAGATACAAAAAAAAAAGGAGTTTTTGGCGCGACTTGAACTCGGAACTTTCACGCCGCGACGTCAAGTGCCGGCGCTCTAACCTCTCGGCCACAGGAGAAGGCGCGAGCCGCGGCCGCTGGCGGGAAGGTATAAATATACTGCCGGCGCTTGTATCTCGCGTGTTATTTTTCTTTATTTTGGCTCATATTTACCCTCCCTGGCCATAACTTTACCTGCCGCTCCTACAGTATAAAGTGGCGGCCAATTGGACTCCAGTTAAAAGTCCCTGCAGTGAGTTTCGTCGAGTGAAGTTAGGCTTTTGTGCTTGAAGCGATACAGATTTCTCCGCCATTAGGCAGGGATGCTAGGTACTTCCTTGTCCCCGTGGAGCTGGTCACGTGACAGAAAAATTCCTCTTGGCCGCAGCCGCATCCGCAGCCGCAATATGAGCAAACCGGCCCTGGTGTCACCGCTTGCCAGCAACCCGAGCAGAGGACTTCATCTGCAGCTGCAACGCGCGCACCGTCGCCACCTATATATATCTTACACCGTGGGTGCGTCAAACACGAGCAATCAAGATTCGTGCAGGATTCCACTTTAAAGCTGCTGCTTTCAAAGAATGTTCAAAGGCAGCACCAAGACGCCTAAAAAGACGACTTCCGGTAGAAACGGGAACTTTAGCTAGCTTCAACATGATCACGCGTGCGTGGAACTGGGCTTTTATAGTAGGGATAAGTGGTTCAGGCTCCTATTGTACAATCAGAAAGTGTCCACACCTTGAGCGCGAACTCGAGGTTCACTCCAGAGAAGGCCCGAGCCAGGCTCAAAGAAATCATGAGGACTCCTTTGAAGTTCGACCAGGCGATGATGAGACACTGCTTCCAGCTCAATTCGTAGCCGACGGACGCAAGGATCGGGTACACGACGACGGTCGTGATAAACCTGCAATTATAGTGAATATCTCGGAATCTGACAAAATTGGCCTTTCATGTATTGCCTCGAGGGGTCTCTGAAACAAAAGCGGGAAGCGCGCACTTTCCAAAGGAAGTGGGAACGCGTTGTTCCACTTCCGCGTTAGAAAGATGTAACTCATGAAAGACCATTGAGAATGTCCCTGTCCGCCTGCTCCTTGG